ACACACACATCGAATTTGGTCTGATGTTCGACTGGTAACACTTCATTCGTTCACATGGTAACCACCAGCCAGTTGGCATTTATTCATCTGATCGGCTGCTTTAATCTTGCCAACTGATCGATTCTAAGCTGTTTACAAACCTGAATTCTGGCTTCGGGCAGTCCAATCTTGGTGGCTAACCGTTCTCGTGCGAACACGTCCGGATAGTGGGTTCGCTCAAATTCTGAAATTAAAAACCATCCAAAATGCCAGCACGCACCACCATATATATAGATCGTTTGCTTAATTCCTTTTAAAATTGCTTCTCAAAATACTTTTTACTAACGATGATCAGGTATCACCACACTAATTTGTCAGCAGCAAATCCACTGACTGCTAGTTTGATCCCGAATTGATCAGTGGATTAATTGATCAAATGCACTGATTAATCAAAACAGCTCTCGAATTGATCCCGAAAACTCAAAGCACGCAAACTGCACTGCACGGTAAGCACAGTCGCACAACCTACTACTACGTACCCTTTTCGAGTGCCTCAATCTGCTCTTGACTGAACGACGTTCGATTCCTTTGCAATTTTCGCTTTAAACGCATTCGTGCGGCTGCATCCTCGTCTGGATCATTCGGAGGTTTTTGATCCTCATCTGTAATTCATTCATCCACTCACTCATCCACTCTAATTGTTTTGCAGGCTCAGGGGGGAGTAGAAGTTGTTTTGTAACAACCTAGAAAGATTGCTTTATCTTCCCGAGTTTGTACTACTTGGTTGCTTTTTATATTACCAATAATATAATTTAAATGTAATTAATAATAATAATGATAATACCAAAAGTTATGTGATAGTAATATTAATGATGACAACAACAGCAACTAGAACAATAACAATTAAACACATGACAAATTATTACAGTAACACAAATATTGATAGTAGCAAATAAGAGACTAAGAAAGACACTAGAATTGAAGTGATAATTAAAGTGATAATCCATTTGCTGATAATGAATTTAGAATGCGAATCAGAAACTGACAATGAATAAATTTCATCTGCCGTTTAGTGCCAGACGTTTTTTTTGCCTTCAATAATTTACCTATGAAAAAATTGTTACGTTTGCAACAACAAGAAGACATTCTGCATTGAATGCTATTGTGGAACAACAGTAAAGGGTTCGAGCGGAATTTTTTGATAGATACAGCAACAGCATAGAATTTGGCCACCACCATACACACTCGCCACCAGCCATACTATGCACTCAGCTTTCAACATACGGCCTGTGTGCAAGTTTATGTATGTATGCTGCGTTTGTTTGTAGCTTAAGAAGTAGCTGTAAGCAGCCAGCTTGAACTCGACTTGAGCACGACGACGATCAATAAGGTCTCAGTTTTCTTTTCTATGCCATACAAGAAATGCTTGAATGTCTACGTACCGTATTTCTGGCCTCTTTTGACAACCCCACCAGAAGCAGCTTTCCTCATTAGAAACTGAAATTTAAGCAAATCGAATCGAGTCCACATCGAAACTTCAACGGCAGCGATCAAGGAGGCAGACACAAGACGTAACTAGTGAACGCTTGAATCTTGGATGGATCATGCATAGATGGATGATGAATGCATGCATTCAATCAGCGGCAGCAAATATTCACTCAGCAAAGGCCAAATACAGCTGATCAGATAAGATGGCAACTTTAATTACTTTAAAAAATAATCAATTCTTTCGTTCAGTTCAGTCACTTACTCGCATCAACAGTAACAGTAACAGTAAGAGCAATAGACAGTAAGTTTTGAAGAGTTTGTCTCGAATTGTCTCGAATCTTGATCAATCTAGATCAACAAACCAGTAGTACTGATAGCAGTGATCACAGAATCAACGGCAGATACATAGATAGATAGATGTTATCTTAAGTGTTATTATTACTATCAAGCAAAGGAAGAAAGCCTCAATTATGCCTAGATAATAGATAACGGATCTATGCAGTAGCAGCAGCAGCACAAGGTATTTAAATGAAATGATCATCAATTCCATGATCGCAACCAACATAAACAGCATTCGACGATGTTTTACATGACGACCACAACAACCTTATTCATCACTACTATCTATATGAATTAATCAAATACAGCAGCAGCAGCATCACTACCTATAATACCGTTTCTACTATTCAACCAATCAAATCAAATTTCTTTCATTATTCCGTCCCTCTATCATCTCTACATCTCTCTTCTCTTGTTCATTACAAAATAATTCTTCACGTCAATAAAATTCCATCAAGTGCTTGCTTGTGTTCGATGGTCAGCTATATAATATAGATATGATATAATAACTTACAGCTTACATGATATAATAACTTACAGAATATGATATAATAACGAGTAGATATATTTGTGACGGCGACTGCTCTATAGAATGCTTAAACTGATCAACTCTCGATGTTCTCCCTCTAAAATCGTTTCTTTATTGTTTTTTAACAAACTCATTTGCTGCTTTCTGTGCACCGCTTAGTTGTTCACAAACCTATCCTTTAGTTTTTGAGTCTTCGCCCACTTACCCACCTAACCCCGTCCTCCTATATATCAGTCAGTTCCCAGCAAGTCAGTAAGTCGGCTCGGCTCGGCTCGGCTCAACCCTAATCTATGCTCTCTTGATCGCGTTAGATTTCTTTCCTTCTCCTCTCATTCAGAACAACCGTCTGTAACACGTAACCAACTGTAAATATATGCGAATATAACTAACTGTTCCATTGCATTCCATTTAGTCTCTCTCGTTTTCTTTTAACAATATAATCCCGACACAACAATAATATCAGAATACCACCTAAGTAATCCGACAATACTACAATGTAATAAAATGAAACTGAATCAGTCCTAAGCAAGAGCAAGAGCGTATTAATGAAGACAATAATTTCATAAGTTCACTCTATAACTATACCATATAACTACACTTCCTCCCGCTGTTACGTTACTACCAGCGCTATGAGAGTCGTCAGTCGCCCGTCGTCGTATCATTGCATTCATTCAAAGTGTCCGTTAAAATGTCACATTGAATTCAATCAAACGATCCACCGAAATTTATCGTAATAAAACGCACCATCCCCACATCGAATCTAATCTCCCTCCTATATAACTTTTACTATGAAAGCTCGTCGAATCTCAACATAACACCAATAACACTTTCATAAATATTATTCCATTCACCACTCAATTACGACTCTTCCTTAGATGTATTATTGTAATCTACCTATATACATTATACCAGACCCGTAATCAGCTATTACTGCTAAACAAGCAACTAAATGAGCACATATCAAGTGTATGTATCTATCTAGATAGGTAGGTATTATATTTGAATGTGAAGTGAGGAGTCTTTACCTAATTGTAAGTGAAATTATAAACTGTGAAATGAAATTAATTCTTCATTCTTGTTCATCTTAAGTGATGCGTGATCAAAATGTTTGCTTGATGAACACGAAATAACCAACCAACTAACTGTTGCTGCTCTTACTACGTTCTAACAATTATCACTAACTATCATACTCATACCTACCAGCATCCATCTATCGTGCCGTGCGTCGTTGTTCATGCAACGACGACGACTGTCACGACAAACGATAATCTCATTTGATCACTAACTACCACTACTACTACTAACCACCCACTGAAACAATACGAATACACATTATTCCTCGTGCTCCAATCACTTGCCCCAATCACAGACTGCTTCCTTCACTCATTTCAGAAAGAATCTCACCTTACCTTTACGATCATCAAATTTATCCCAACTCTTTCTTATGCAGCAATTCAAAAATACTCACTGTTCAGTTTTGCATAACACATGCTCATCATCCTCACCATATTACCTATCGTTCAATAAGCAAATACGGTCGTCGTCTAGGTTGCAATAACCATACTTCGTGATCGAAACAGCAGCATTCCATCTATCTAACTATTGATCACCGAAATTAATTGACTGGCTGCTCCCCAATAAAAAGATCATAAAACGGATCCTTTGCCTGTCGACAATCGGCAATCTACCTATCTACCTATCTATCTACCTATCTACCTATCTATCTATCTATCTATCTATCTATCTGTCCTCCAGCATACACCTATTAATGACAATGAACTCACTTCCCCTCCCTTCCCCTTTCTTATATAATCCAACTATGTATACTCAATCAATTCACCTGTTTTTACAGCCAAATTTGAAAAGAAACGCAGTACCGTACGTACATTTAACACGTTTGAGTAAGTACATTCAAAGAAGGATGCTGAATTGATTTGAATATTGATATGGACCTATAAAAGCATCAAAGGATCCACTAAAGCAAAATTAGATTAAAGCAGTAGTAAAGCGTTAAGCTGATACGACTCACTTGAAGCGTAACAAATTGCAAATCTGATGAGTGCAGATCACACAGATCAATAGTGCAGATCAATCAATTGCTCGAGTAACAATCAAGTAATCGTATTCAGTAATCAAGTAATCCAAAACGCTTGAAGCGACTGACTCACCTGACTGGTTAGATTACAGTGGATTACAGATAGTTTGTTGTGGGAGAACGTAAGGGTAGGATGAATGGATTGATTGATCGATTGGAACAGAGAAAGGATAAGGCATCATCAGCATAAGGCATCGATCGACGACTGTCAAAAGGCTGATAAACTGATAAGCCAAAGGTGATCATTGAAAACACATCCATCGATTGCAAAGCGGACAACACCAGAAAGAGTTAAACGCTGACGACGATCAACCGAAAAGCAGGCTCACTAGCCGCGACAACTAACGCAACTGCCACCGATTCGTGATCATAGACTACGAATCTAGCAATAAATACTGCTGATTTGATTATTACTCTCTGATCTAATCTCAGATACGAATTTAACGACTGCGCCTGCCTGCCTGCATGTCATAATCTAATCAAATCAAATTATTGTAAAACACTGATTTGCGCTCATTTCATCGATCTCAACTTGCAATCGTATTGAACGTAATCATCACAAATTATTTTCAATTCACTAATCTTTTTCAACTGATCACTAAACTGATCTGATATGAGATTGATCAGATGATTCAAAACTTAATCAAATTGTCAACTCATTAACAGTGCTGTCGTCTGTCATGCAATCAATCAACTGATCAATAACCATTCATCAATGCCAGCACCCGATCAAATCAAATCAATTCTACTGTAAATGTTTTTTGAACATTCATTATTGCACACTGTCAACTGATCTTATTACTTAGATATGAGCTGATCGCATTGCATATGCCTACTCAGTATTTATATTGAATAAGTGATACTATGAACCAATGACGCGAGATGTTCCACTGGGCCGTCGAAGAGCTTCAGAAGAAGTACTAGGCTGCAGCTAATCAAAAAGACAGATTGACATGAGTAGATCAAGAGTGATTTATTACTGATCCGATGATAGATGAATACTGATAGACAGATCAGACATACGGCTGGATGGATGGATGGATGGATGGATGGATGAGGGAAAGTTAAGTAAATCACTGAAGATCAAGATGAGTGCTTATGAAACACTGGATATGATAAGTGAAATCTGCCTTATGAACGTATTAAACGTATGAAGCGTGAAATATTGGTTAAAGAGAATTTGATTTGATCTGATTCAATTATGTTTATCGGCGAATATCAATCAAACTCATTATATAATTATGATAATTCGATTAAGTCGTTTACCAACAATACAAATAAGCATCACAATAACACTTGACAACTATAATAAATTAGATTAACTAATTAAGCAACTCATCAATCATCGATTATATGTACACATCATACTATTTATTAATTAATTAACTTATACATTACTCATTCCCGTGTACTACTACCAAGATTACTACTATCACTCAAGTGTTGTAAGTGTTGCCATTTCGCTGCGCTTACTACCATATCATTTTTATTTGATTTCAACGAAACGCAAACAGACATATAAATCAGAGACAGTGCTGTGATAACCTATAGATAACAGTGGGGTGCTTGCATTCATCACTGGAATGTCATCCGCTGGAATGGCATGATTTATTAATTCAACACCACCAACCATCCATTATTCACTTCTATGCATCCCGCTCTGCTTGGTTACTGTACATCAACTCATACGGTAGTGGAACGTCCCAACTACTACAGCTACTATGCTCTAGACAAAGTCTAGTAGGATAATGATAACAGTAATTAAGATGATATCAACAAGAGTAATTGGCTGATTGAATAAACGTATAATAAGAGAGTGCTTACGCTGCATTGGTGAACAACACACAAGTTGAGGGATATCAGTGGCTGAAGAACAAGGGGAAGAAGAAGCAGTAGCGGCGGAATACGAATAGCAGTCGTCAGAATAGCACTGAATCGTAGTGGAATGGCTAGTAGTGCACGATGGTGACGCCGACGATGACGGTGATGACGACGAGCCAAAAGTCGGAATACTGTATGAATTCGTAATTGTAGACAGTGCTTGTTCGATTAATCAATAGTGAATAATCAATGATAAAC